TCCAGGACCGATCTTACGCAACGTCCTTTGTGCGAGCCTTTTCCTCGGTAATGCGCCTAATGTGTGTATGAGAGAGTGATGAGTGCCAGCCGACGCGAAAATTTTCGAACAGGGAAGTATATTAATGCCGATGGAGGCCAGTAACCTTTCGCATTTCGTTTGATTGTGATTTACGCGCGTTTGGCTCCTCATCTCGACGAGCATCTTTTCCACCAGGATCCCTTTTCCCGCGATATTCTAAGAGAGCGTACGAGCCTTTCTCTTTCTCTCTCTTCCTCGCGATTGTTGCATCATTATTAATACTCTACGTGCTGTTGACGGTGATTCCAAAGCGCATTCCAAAGTCGCGCGAGGTCTGACGATACGTGCCCAACCGATTGCATTCGCAATCGTGACATTGGCGTGCTGTCACTCAAGGTTGGAGATCATATGTACGCGACAAATTATTCGTCTATTTCCGTATTGTGTGCGAAATTATGTCACTCTCGTGGAATTAGATTATGAAAGGACCCCGCGGAATCCTTATGGAAAATAGCTTTCGGTCAAATGTTTCGAAACTTTGCAAAAGGATAGTTTCTCAACATGTAGATTAAAAGTGTCCATGGGTATGAAACTCTAAAAATTCGAGATTTTCAGCTACAGCCATCCAAAGAGATAGATTTTTGAATTTCTGCAGTATATTCTAAAGTTCGACAACGGTAGCTTATCTTAGTTGGGTGGTTTTACAAAAAAAGACACCTCACAGTCTTATCTTAACTGACCGGACAAAAAAAAAACAAGAAAAACAAAAAAGCAAAAAAAAAGTAACTCTGCCAATTCCAAGCCTGTATTTAAAAAGAGGAGGATAAAATAACAAATATATGTATATATTTTCAATCTGTCTCACACACACACACAATTAAGGCAGTCTACTTAGCACAAAAAAATCATAAATAAAATAGTCTTGATAATTCTCATGCTTCCTACATGCCTATGTTTCTTAAATTTAATAACTTTCACTTCCTCCAATGTAAAAAGGTTTTCATAGGGTGTTTTGGAAAGCTCTCGACCGCAACTATACATATGCAATCAAAAAAGTGCGAAGCTTTGGCCCAAAAATCAACCTTATTGGTTCAAACTCCTTCAAAAATCTATCATTTTGAATGGTTGTAGCTGAAAATCTCGAATTTTTAGAGCTTCATGCCCATAGACACTTTTAATCTACACGTTGAGAACTATCTTTTTATAAAGTTTCGAAACATTTGATCGAAAGCCATTTTCCATAAGGATTCCGCGGGGTCCTTTATCATCGTATTATTATTTCGTATTATTAGAGACTACAATGCGAATTTTATTTCTGAATTATTTTTTAATCGACAAGAATTCTCTGTATCGCAGAAGGATTGCCAAGGCTCGTTGAATCTCGAGACGCGTTGGAAAATCGACTGTCTAAATAAGGAATTGCCGGTTTGGAGACTCGTGTTTTCTACCAAGTGGATAATTAACGCCCAGATGATTGCCCGCGCCTATAACACGTCTCGCCGTGTTTTACATTACGCAAATCTCTGCACGACTGCGATTAAACGCGTTGTAAATCGACCGCGCACCGCGCGCGTCGGCTTTACGTGTCATATAAAGAGATCTAATAACGCACCTGGAAAAGGAAACAGTGCACTTTCCGTGCCATTCCCTTCTATTATCATAAACGGCAATCATCTATTCATTATCTGTAATTTTACAGAGCACAAACAAGATTGTACTGAGAAATATTGCGCGTCGGATTTTCTTAACGATGGTAAAGCCGTCAAGGATCTCGTTGAAGGTTTAATTCGCATAGTTGATTTCAATTTGAACGAAAAACCGTCGACGAGGAACTTAATCTTCATCGCGCGAGAGTAAGAGAATCTTCCGCATGTCGCGTGCCTTTTCCCCGAAGATCTTCTAGAGAACCAAACCCCTTTGTTCTCCAGACGAGGGGGATTTACTACCGGATAGCGGTGGCATCGTCGAGAACGACGATACGGTGGTCGCCGCAGGCGATGGCACCTGCGTGAACGATCGCATCCTTCACTATCATCAGCATCCTCAGCAGCATCCCCATCAGCAGCAACATTCGCCGACGGAGTCGGAGCTGCACGATCTCTTGCAATTTCGCGGGACCGGGACTACGGCCGGGTCGGGACGGCAAGAGATGGTGGCCCAGGATATGGCAGAGGGCTATACGCAGCTCCTGCACTCGGCGGCGGTCCAGGAACCGCAGGAGTTCATCTCGCTCCAAGAGCTACAGCCGCGCGTTCATCGTCAGGATACCTGCGCGCAAATCGTCTCGTCCGCCTCTCAGCTTTATCATCATCATCAACGAAACGGCGACCAGCAACAGAATTATTATAATCTCTCATCTGTGCAGGAGTAAGTTTGGTTGTGTTCGTTGGTTCGCATGAAAAGATTATTGGAAAGAGAGGATCCGATAAATTAAATGGATGTATGTAAATATCATATCGATGTATTATTTGTCTGCAAATATCGCGCAGTGTCAGATCGAATATCGCTTATGCGCCGCGTTTAATCGTAAGAATGAAATAATACTACAACTTCTTATGTAATATTACTTATTGCACGCATAACGATGACAATTGATAAGCCTAATGGCGGGATCTATGCTACGCGAAATTGGCTTTCAAATTATGACTAGTGTTGTCAATACTCGCGCTATTAATAAAACTTGAAATCGGTGAATGGAAACTAGTTATTTATGCATCAGAATAATATCTGGATACCGAGCAAATTAAAAAAATTCGCACAATTAATATATTAAATATATTAATATATTTTAATATATTAAATTATGGAAAGAATGGTGAAATTGTAACGATATTTTTTTCACATTTAGATCATTATTCATATTTTCATTCGACATCCTAACAGTAGTAAATAGCGTACAATGAATACATTAAGAGCCACGCTTGATTTTTGCTTCAACCAACGTGTCGATCATCAGCAATCGAAGCGCGAAATATGAGGCTTCGCATTATCCAATGTTTTTTCTCCTCTTTTTGCCTTTTTCCCTGATATTATAAAAGCCGCAGGCGTAACATGTCTCTTTACCGAGACTAATTTTTATGCAATTTTTATGCATTATACTGGCCGTTTGATCAGACACTTGTGTGCTGATACCTTTGAAGCGAATTTATTTTATCGATCCAAGCAGGAAGTAATAATATATATGTAAGTTGTCGCTATTAAATATTTATCCTGATAACTCTAGCTAATGCAATTGTACCGTAGATTGTATTTAGGTTTTGCTTAAACATTCTTTCAGTGAAAATTTATTAGAGAGAACTTATAAGAACTTAATGCGGAACTCGTCGATTAGATTAATCATCCAAGCAGAAAGTAATAACGATTAATTTCGCATAATTTTATTGCGATCGTCATCTTGTTGGAGCTTTATTTACTAAATGCTCTCGGTTGAAGCCGTCCATCGTTCTTGCGTAATTGTTATTTCGCGACGGAAAATTTTCATAGACGTGTAGAACAAAATGAGACTAGATAAGTGAATCATCATTGAATAGATAAACCGCATAATCGCGGTTATCTATTCGTTATTTCATTTGGAATGTGGCATTTTAGAAAACGAATGGACGGATGAAGGATTAAGTACACGGTGGATTCGTGGATCGCTCGAATATCAGCAAGATGACATCGTCATTGTCTGCATACGAGACTCCCACTTTTCGCGCCGCATGCGACAAGACATCATCGTCACCGTCGTATCTACGAATAAATAGAATTACGCTAATCGCTTGTATTACATCATAATACACGGAACTATCTGCTGTTGCCGATGACGAGATAGCTGGCAGACCTTGATCTCTCTCTTGTTTTTGTGAAAAGACACAGAAAGTCATAATAATGCGAAAACCTTGCCTTGGAAAAACATAAAATCCAAATTAATTTTCGGAAAAATTTCTTTAAGTGAAATAAAAATAACAAATATGTGTATTTTAATGCAATGATAGAGTATGTAGTTGAAAGACAATCGAAAGAATGAAATTCAAAATTCAGGTTGTATCTAGCATTCCAAAATCAATATTTCCTTGTTTCTTTATTTTTTTCTTTTTATTTTGTAAAAGTACAAAATAATTTTCGACTTCTTGAAAGATAAGTTTTTGAAATTTTTCAAACTTTTTCATTGAATCAATATCTCTTGTTTCTTTATTTTTTTAGGTCTTTTTATTTTGTGAAAGTACAAAATAATTTTCGACTTTTTAAAAGATAAATTTTTGGAATCTTTCAAACTATATTTTTTATTACTATATTTGTGAGTTTAAAATATCAACCAATCACATAGTTAGCTATACAATTATCTATCGAACTTGTCATACGTATATATTCTTATTACGTTTGAATTCGATTGACAAGGCGATACCGCGATCAAGATTTAATCGATCAGCTGAAAGTTTTATACGCAATCAAAGGAATAAGACAACTCGAGAGATTGGATCGATATCGGTCATAGAAGAGTAAATCGTAAGGTTGATGACGATAGTTCAACACTCCCGGACACGGCGCTAGTTCAATTATATATTACACGCTTCGTATATGATTAGCGTACCTGTACACAAAATGTTACGCACTCCTACACGATTGCGACTTTCCCCGTTCTCTCATGTTGAAAATATACATTGCGATCACGTCGCAGACAACTGAATTAATTATTCGTTATTCAAGAGATAATGATTAGAAGTTTTAATGACAATTTATAGGATAGGAGGGATGGAATTTCTCTCTCGTTTACAATTTTTTCGTTACGATAATCACATATATTCAAATCGTTACGATATCACATATATTTTGCACGATTTAAACGTTTTCAAATATGTGTTTATGGCAACTTCTTTCTCTTGAATACGGTTAAAATATCATAGAAATTTTCCTATGTATTTCACGAAAATTCTGTATTTATTTTCTACAAAATCATGATGTTATAATGTTTAACATGATTTGAAATATACTTTCAGAAGTTCGTGCTCCACGGTTTATTTCGGCGAGATAAACACGGGTTCCGGGGTGGGAGAGCTAACCACCGCCTCGGCGGGGGGTGGTGGCGAAGGTCTCGCCCCGACTCCAACCCCCGCCAACGGCAGCAACAGCAGTGGCAGCAGCGTTAGTACCACCACCCCCAGCAGCCTGAGCACCGCTACAACTACGACTACCACCTCCACTACCAGCATCGCTACCATCCTGCAGGTTGCAACGGGGGCTGAACCGCCCCGGCACATGGAGACACCCCCGACGATGATCCCCGACCAGCAGGCACCCGCCTCCGGCCATCACTATCACCATCATCATCATCATCATCATCATCATCGACATCACCGTAGTACGTCTACGACTAGCCATGAACCGGCAACAAACACCCCGGACGAGTTCGCACGGAAGCGAAAGCTGTCTTGCCAGTAAGTTTAATCATAACTTATGTCGAAGAATCTCGAGATCCCTCCGTTTCTAAGGAATTAGGGTTGATTTCACTGATCTTTGTCAAAGCAGTAAGCTAAATTTAGAGCGGATCGTTAACCTATAGACAATACGTTGCATTATTAGTAATTTAATAATAAATTAAAGCGTTTTTAAATTGAGGAAATTAATTGTAATCTCTTTTTATATTTAAAATATAAGCTGCTTATTTAGTTTAAGAAGAGATCATCAATTTAAAATTTATAAAATTTTTTAGATAAAAAAGTTAAATAAAATCAATCGCTTTAGCTCGTTTTATCTTTGTCTGCTTTTAAGTAAGAAAATAGAGTGCTAGGAATTTAGGATCTTAAATTAGGATCTTAACACAGGATCTCGTGCCGCATACATACAATGCTTCTTTGTCTGCGGAGGAAGGCGTTTAAGAATTTGGTCTCGGCGGTAACAATCGCTCCGTTTCTCGATGCATAAAGCCCAGCGACTCGCTCCATGTGGAACACGTAGATGGAAGTCATATCGAAATATTACACATTAGCATGGCGCGCGTCTCGCAAAACGAAGCCCGCCAAATGTCTCCAAGCCAAGTCTGAAATCTCACAGCAAACAGCACGCAACACAACTAGCAACTACCCTCTCCCCCTCTCTCCTCTCTCCTCTTCTCGCATTCCATCTCTCTCGAGACTCATCGATAGCATGTTTCGAAATGTTTCGCGCAAAACGCCGATAGCTTCGAGTAATTAACTTAATCAAAGTATCGCGTACGCACTCAAAGGGTTAACTTAATCGTTCATAGAACGGAAGATTTGTCTTCTCTCTCTCCCAAGACCTCGGCCGGTCGAAATTGCCTATGGCAATTACATCTATCAGCTTGTTTGGGATACGTAGTCTTAATACCTATAATAAATAACGTCATTGAAAAACTGCAATTTTTTATTTGATTCAACGTCAAGTGCGATTGTTATCGAGCGATATTTTCTTGCGCATTTTGTCTTGCATCATCCGCATAATATATTCATATTTTATTGAATTTTTTACCTCCTCCGTATGTAGAATCAATCTGGAGATACAGTACATAATTTATAACATTTTTTAATATTTTCATTAACATTTTTTTGCAATAATAAAATTTGTAAGCTTATAATCATTAGAAAGATATGCATGTCCGAGAATATGTTCTTATCGTTAACAATATTGAGATGCATATGCGTATGCGTTTTTTATTCTCATAAATATTTACACGCGTCTCTCTCATTTCCGAGGCGAATCTTTCTCGACGAAGAAATTGTGTCGACGAACGTTTCATCTCGCGAGAAACGGGAAACCCATGTGCGACTTTCCGAGCTTCGAGATACAAAAGAAGGGAGAGAGGAAGCTCTATACGGGCGAAACTTTGCAAAATTCCCCGTCAAAGGGGTAACACCCTCCGCGAAGATCGTATAAATTGCCAAAGAAATTGTTTCTCTGTGATGTGTTTCGACCGAATTTTGATCGTCCCGGTGGGACTTCGCCAATTACGTACTTAGATTACTACGCGTGTGAATTGCTCTGAACTTACATCTCGCAGAAATGATTAGGATCATCAGAGTGTCATGTCTAATGTTTGTTGATTCATGATTTATTTCGTTGCATCGGTTATTTAATTTTTTGCACTTTGCTTATAATTATATCTTGTTGACGAAGCATTATCTACATTTGTTTCAGTGCTGGAAGCGATCTCCTGGACGATCTGAGGGACGATGCCAAATCTATTCGCACAAATGACGACAGTAAAAAGTAAGTGATGCTGAAAAAGAAAAATATAATAATATGCAGCGATCCGAGTTTCCGAGCGACACGTGCTTCACGATTGAATCGATTGCTTTCAAACACAATGTTGGTCAGCGCGGTTACGTGGTATTATGTCAGATATTGTCAAGGTGAGTTCCACCTTGACCTATCGTGATTCTTTGCTTTGGCTTCATCAATGACGTCACTAATCCACTGTATTATATCTGTTATATTGTGTGCGATGTACTGTCGTTTTGACAGCAATCATTCAATTTTAAAGTGTTCGAACGGTTTGTTTGTATCATGCACTTTAATACATATTTTCTATTGCACATTGACAGTTGAAGGATCTGTTACTAAAATGAATTCATTAGGAGACATCACACAAATATCTGAAAGAAAATTTTTAAAATATCTCTCGTAAAAGAGACCTGAAAGAGATCTGAAAGATATTCTAATCCTTTGGACATTTTATCAAATGTTTCTTGGATATCTTTGGAGTTTTTTTACGTAATGTTAAATATAAAAATAATCTTTTTTCTTTCTTTCTCATATTATTATATATATTCATCATTATATATATCATTATATATATTCGACAATAAAATCGGTAACCATATTGCTACCGTACATTTTACAGATCCATTGAAATCCACTGTAAAAATATAACGGATATTACGATATGTGTTACGATATGACCGGATATAATTATCATATGACAGAAAGTCGAACATAGTTGAACGAAACCAGTTTTCGCTGCGGCAACGATTTTTGTCGTGCAATTTATTCTTGCGTGCGCTATGAATGCGAATTCTTGAGAGAAAAAAATTAACAAAGTGCACTCTGAAAATGCGTTTTAATTGAATCATTATTGCCGATCATCATTCATGTAATTACTCGAATTTGGTTTTTTTTTTTGAAGAGAGAAAAAGTTAATACTGACATAACTGTATATTTAAATTTGCATAGATCCCGAATTCACGTAGATCAAATCTTCCCAAAAAATCCGCTGAAGTTGACGAGATGTGTGTTATTATACCATATCATTCTCACCGGTAGCTTGGCACGATTCCGATCTTGTTTGCATGGAACGACGATGGCAATAGGATTCCGCGCAATTAACGCAACGAAGGTGTACGTGTACATACATTTAATTCCTGGAACTTACTTGAAAAATATGAAGATTGAAATATGAGAGGAAATAACAGCGGCCTGTGTGAAATACTAGAATTGCTCGTGATCGTGACCCTTCTTAGAAAGAATATAAAAGAGCATCGAACTTACGTATATATTATATAATGACTTATATAATGTATACTTGTATTTTATCTTTTAATGTATATACACGTAAAATTTCTTACTTTGACTGTTTTATGCAATTATGAAAGTTTTTACATTACTGTGTTGATGACTAAGCAATGAATTACATTTTGTAAAAATTCAGTTTTGCCATTATAAATGCCATTATAAATATTTAAGACTTATAAATAACAGTAGATAAACAAAAAGATTCATAATGTATCAACTATATTTCTCTATTTGCAATTTTATAAAACCTCTATGAAAAAACAAGTCTATATCTGTTTTTATTTTATATACATAAATTTAATATTTTAGTTTTTATTTTTTATTTTCAAAGTTTGAGGCAAAGAAATAATAATAAATTTTATTTTCTAATTTTCGTCTCTATCAAAATATGATTGAAAATTCGATGTATGCCTTAGACAGAACCACAGTGAAATTGAAAAACGCAGGAGAGACAAAATGAACACGTACATCACCGAGCTCTCGGCGATGGTGCCAATGTGTCACGCGATGTCGCGAAAGCTGGACAAGTTGACCGTGCTGCGAATGGCGGTGCAGCATCTCAAAACCATCCTTGGTGCGGTTACTTCATATACGGAAGGTCACTATAAACCTGCGTTTCTCAGTGATCAGGAACTCAAGACGCTCATACTTCAAGTGAGTCCAGTTTTTAATATTTATTTACACAAAAACAGTATTGCAAATATAATTTTTGCAACTATCAATAGAAACATTATCGAACAAGAAAATATAAAAAATATATAATAGAAAATATTAAATATAAATTAAATAACGCGGAAAACTAAAAGATATTTTTATTTTCTTTAATATTCCATCTTTAATTGTAAACGTAAAATTCCAAATTTCGTATGTATGTTTTTTTTTTATAAATCACAATCATGGTAAATCAAAGAAATATGTGCGCTTATTTCGTCGGATTATCCTTCATTTAATTTTTCGTTTAATTTAAGAGTGATATTTCTAAATTATGACAGTTATGTGCAATAATTAAGTCAAACGATCGTGGGATCGATATAATTCAACGCACTATAGTTCCTAGTATCATTAACATGAAATTCATTTATGACGTGCATTTTTATGCAGTTTATAAGAGATCATTGGTGTCTTTTGTAATCCTTTTACACGAGATTGAACGGAGATAAAACCAGCGGCGGATAACTCCCTTTCTCCCGCGTGCTACAGATTTTTCTCAGACTTAGTCTCGTGCCGGCGAAAGGAAAGGCTCGAAGCATGTAGATTTATGGGATCGCGATAATAGTACTTTAGTCTCTCCGAGGCGCTCTCAAATCACCTACGCCTTTATTCCGAACCAATTAGCGCGAAAGAGAACGCGCGTCAACAAATAGAAAAATTGCAAACGAGGCTGTACACATGTATGCCTTCCTTGGATTTTTAAGCGAAATAAAGAATAGTAAATGTATTGAATTATAATCCAATAACTTTACCATTCTTATTCATTCAAGTTTCTCTTTGCAAATGTAAAAAGTCTTTTGGAGAGAGAGAAGAATAATATATTTACTCTCTATATATAATAATATATACATGGAAATTGAAATTAATTGCATATTATTACAGCTTTCACGAGGTCAAATCTCGACTTATAATTAGTAGACGTAAAAAAATTGTGTCATAGGGAATCAATGATGTGTCATAGAAAACGATGTAAAACATATACTTTGCTATGGATAATCAAAGTTGTCTCCTTTTCATAAAAATTTCGCCGGTATTAATATCTCTTTTTTTCTCTCCTTTCTACTCTCTCTCTTTCTCTCTTTCCCTTGGAAAATTGCACGATACGAAAAAATATTACAATCGAGAGATAATTTCTATCCACCCCAGATTCAGCATATATGGAGCTCGCGCTGTCGGATCCAGATATTGCTCATTGTCATGCACGTACGTGTGCATGCGTTTATCTTTTATAGGATTTTTCTCGCTCGTTCACCGTAGGAAAATATCTGAGAGAAGTGAATGACCACGCCCGACATACCGAGTCAGATCGGTGCTTTAAACGTGCATAACTACAGCATAAATCTCTCCATTGTGAATCGATACGTTTATTACCATCGAGATCCGGCTTAGACTTAAGGAATAAGTTACGTCAAGTTACGTTATTCGCCTGGAACAAAAATCGGATTAATTATTGTGATTATTAATTCGATGATTAAATGCAGAGCTCGATATCTTCGCGCCCCAACGCGAAGCCGATACGGATCGGGATTTCTGATGATGATATCTGGCGAAACTTATGAGACAGAGAGAAACGTGGGTGTGCGAATAATGAATCTGTAAAGAGAAGCAAGCATGTACATCGCAATAAAACGCGAACGCGGTTCTTCAAGCCGTTTCATTGACATTAATGAATGTTACATACGATCGACGATGTATCGAAAACGCCGGCCGCGATTACGCAACGCGAGCGCTATTAAGGATCTAGCTGGTGCAACGATAAATGATACGGCATTGAGGCGATTGTGTTGCGCCCGTGGAATCGCGAGCAGGATGCGAAATATCAGATATTTTTCAGTTGAGTAAACGCGTAAAAAGGTGAAAAGTCAATCCGGCTTTTATGCTGACTCCATGTTTGACGTACTATATCCTGTCGAAATCCCGTATTTAATGCAAAAAAGTACTATTCAATTACTAAAATACTATATACTCTGCAAAAAGTAGTGATGCTATTTATTCTCCAAATGTATTAACTCTTTCATTAACGTAGCATTTGCCCATTAATGAACGAGAGGCTTAAAAAATAATATACGTATTTTTAAAAATGGAATTTATACGTCATAAACTTATCAAAAAACTCATAAACTTGCACATTCTGTATGTTTTAAAAATAATAAATTCAAGACATAAAATGTAAACTCTTTAATTATAAATAGCTTAATTTTAACGGCAGAACGGAAAGCAGCTTGTCTTATTTCAGGCCGCGGAGGGCTTTGTCTTTGTAGTGGGCTGCGATCGCGGAAGAATTCTCTACGTTTCCGAATCCGTCTCGCAAACTCTCAATTATTCTCAGGTAAAAGAATTTACCTATATTTAATTTTTCAATTTTTTCTTCGTATCACGAGTCTGTCACTATTTGTATACGCATGCTTATAAACTCATTTCACGTACGCAATTCGATATTTTACGTACATACATAAATGTTGGAATTAAGTTACGTAAGTTTTATTGGAATTCCATTAATTGCATCTAATTTAAATAAATACTGTATTGTATATGAAATGCATCTTTACCGTAGAATTGATTGACAACAATTGTCATTGTTATCGTATCACAATTCTAATTCGCGATTATCAGCTACTTGTCATTTTTACATTTTCGAATATTCGTGAATGAATTAAATTAATAATGGATAATTGAAGATAAAGCTATCTCTAAATCATATTATTGATTAAATAAATATCTAGATTATGAATTTTGGTTGATAAAAAAGGAAATTCTTTCTTCAAAAATTAATACAATTAATACAGTAGTGCGTGATCTCTCGAATCGATTATATTCTATTTAATTTTTATAGAACTGTTTAGGAAAATGCAACGAAAAATATTTGTGTCACTGCAGGGTGACTTGTTGGGTCAAAGCTGGTTCGACATTCTGCATCCGAAGGATGTCGCTAAAGTAAAGGAGCAGCTCTCGTCCTCCGATCTCAGTCCGAGGGAGCGATTGATCGATGCGAAAAGTAAGTAACCACTGTAATAAGTTGCTGCAGCGACTCTCTCCGAATCTTCGATTCGGCTGATTCTAGCTGCGCGCGCGAACGATAATTTCTCCGGTTGTAGAAACTTTTCACCTCTGAAGCCATTAATTATAGCATCTCTTTCGAGACATTGCCTCACGCTTAGCACGTCAATCATAGCGAGCGAAAATTATTATTTTCGCGCGCGCGAATCTTTTCCACCTTCACCCGATAAATGTCAGTCGTTCAGCAGCATTTGCTCGCGTATAAACCTTGTCGATAAATCTTTGAATTAGCTTGCCTATTAGATAAGAGCATTGCGAAAGTTCTACGCCAAACGAGGCTAAAAGAGGCGAAGAGTCGCTGAACGCGTCTAATGTCAGAATTCCTCGGACATTACATCTGCATATATAATGAGATTTTAATTCTGTAGTATTTAAAGCTAGTAATTACAAGATGAAAAGCCTTGTAATAAACGTTTCTGCGATGATAAAAAGAAATATGATAAAAATATAGAAGGGAAGAAAAAAAATTTGCGCAAGAAATGGCGATAAATAAAAGCAAACGATCGATGGACGAAATGTTATTCTGTTATTCCGATTGTTTCAGCGATGTTACCGGTAAAAACCGACGTGCCCCAAGGAGTATCACGACTTTGTCCTGGTGCGCGAAGATCCTTCTTTTGTCGGATGAAGCGTAAAGTCGATGGGGTCCGTTGCGATGAGATGCAGGTGAAAGAGGAAGTCGACACTACCACTGGCTGCCACAGGCGGAAGAAGCAGCAAAACGTAGGTGAGTAAGATTAATTCTCATTATCTTTTGTAATCGAGTTTGCACGCGTACATGCGAGGAAAGGGAGGAAAATTAGAAATTTTCATTCGATCATCGCGGATTAAGAAATCTCTTATTTTATACAGATGATTATGGTTAAAGCGTAATGTGACTTCATCATTATGTATTCCTACAAGATGATTCAAAACCTTTTTAGAAGAAAGAACTCACGCCCGAATCCTTCTGCCAAAGAAGTTCGATTTTTTTCTACCGTTCAATTTTCTTTCTCGAAAAATGAGATATCTTGCAGTGCGGAAAAATATGTGACGATTCATAGGAATAGGATTTGAAACGGGGATGCAAATGTGTCTTTCGGACACTGAAACTCGCACGCACGATCGGAGATATGGTATGAACGGTCCTTGCCGCGTGGCTCGTCAAAGGTGAAAAGTGGAGACTGTACAGTATCATAGTCATCGGTGAAAGGGTCATCGATATATCCTCATCACATAGCTCGTCGGCAATCATAAAGTCCCCTCCCCATACGCGTCTTTTACAATTCCATCTTCTATATATAAATATGTGCGAAAGATGTGAAACATATGTATAAAATAATACCTTATGTGTTTGTAATTAATTATATAATATAATGAATATACAAATATATTATTTATACACTTTCCGAATCTCATTCGCAATCTCAATCGACACAAATACACGTTTCAGATCGGAAGTATTGCGTAATTCAATGCACGGGTTATCTAAAATCCTGGGCACCTGCAAAGATCGGTCTCGAAGAGCAGGAGGGCGAGGCCGACGGTGAAGCTTGCAATTTGTCTTGCCTGATCGCAGTCGGTCGGGTTCAAATGGCAATATCGACGACAACATTGCCGTCGAGGAAGCCCCATTTGAGACCCATACAATTCGTCTCGCGACATGCGATGGATGGCAAATTTCTGTTTGTGGACCAAAGGTATCGTTCAGATGAATTATTTAGAAGCTATTACTTGGAACAATCTCCGAAGTATTATCGTAGATTTCGCATATATATATATATATATATATATATATATATATATATATATATATATATCGATATGAGAGAATAATTTTTTTCGTCATTTAGAGCTACTCCAGTATTGGGCTTTCTACCTCAAGAACTACTGGGCACCAGTATGTACGAATACTATCACCACGATGATATTCCCCATCTAGCAGAGTCTCACAAAGCCGCGTTGCAGACCCCCGAGCGCATTACGACGCAGGTAATTAATATAAATCATTTGCAATCACTTTTTTGCAATGCTACTCGTATTAAGATTATAATTATATCCGCTGTTAACTACCTTTTTCGCGAGTTGATCAAATACTGCGTTTTCATATAGATGATTTCACGTTACTTGACAAAACTTGTGTTATTCTTCTTGCAGATCTATAGGTTCAGAAGTAAGGATGCGAATTTTGTCAGACTGCAATCCGAGTGGAAGTCCTTCAGAAATCCATGGACCAAAGACATCGAGTATTTAATCGCCAAGAATTCTGCTATCTTGTGAGTAACGATTATCATCCCTTGCTCATCCCGCGCGATGATACCGTATAAAGAGCTCTCTATTACTCTTTTCAGTTGCGATGCGTTGAGTGGAAATAACGGATCCGAGGATTCGAGCGTGCAGGACAACTATGATTACTTTACGCAGAGTAAGTACGATTTGAAATATATTCTTTTACAAGATCATAAACATATTGTCAAAGTGATTGAGATCATGTATTTTTTATAACACTTGCAGGTAATGATGGATTAGAGAGACTAATCTCGAGCCACGTGGAGGTAAGTAAGATCGGTCGGCAGATAGCGGAAGAAGTACTGGACCTACAAAAACGCGGGGAAGATTCTTCCTCGGGTAGTAGTCCTGGTCCAGCTGTGACAGAGCCCGCTTTATTAAACACCGAGGTAAATATGTCTTAGACCGTCAATCCTGACTCAAGTTTTTATTATCTGCTTTTCATTAAAGTCGCAAATCACGACGACGACATCGCCGGAGAGGGTACCCGACGTGTCCCGGACAGGTGGCATCAGCAACGACAATTGTAGCAACAATCCCACATCAACGTTCAACCATGTAGCGAACAACGTGCAGCTCAACAGCATCGCGAATGACCAAGGTCATAGCTATTACTGTCTCTAAGGAGTCGGTTCTTGGTGTGTAGTGCGATTGCCAAAATTATTCAAAGAAGAGAAGAGATTATAAAGAGAGCGAAGTTCTCGCGGCTATATATATATATATATATATATACACACACACAAATAGAAAAGAGGAATGTTTTTAGTTGTTTTGTTTATTGTGCATGGCAATATAGCATTGATTTCTGTCGGTACACAGAACACTCGTGTATATCAATTCGCGTATACAATATTAGTGATATCACGCACAACGTAACATTCACTTCCTTTCAGGAGCGTCACCAGACGAAGACATGATGGATATGATTGGTGGCACTGCGATTAATGAGTCGCCAAATCCGATCCCGTCTGATGGCAACGACGAGGCAGCGATGGCTGTCATTATGAGCCTGCTGGAGGCGGACGCGGGCCTAGGTGGTCCTGTGGATTTTTCCGGATTGCCTTGGCCGTTGCCATAGTGTTGTACACATATTTTAGAATGCGGATATTAGACGTTTTGATCAAAATGCTCGAAATAAGACTTGGTGCTGAAAAAAGGTGCTTGTAAGTAATACGGACTGCATTAAATTAAGCAAACTGTGTAGTTTCTAAACGGAATCGCGATCGATTTAATTGATGATCGTTTTTTCCAATGAAGTAAAAATAATCGTGAACTCATACAACTATGTATATAGTTATCTCTCGTCAATCTTTTTGAAAAAGGGATGTTCGGCGAGGTAATTTGCGATAATCAACAACGAGAAATGGACAAATGCTGAAATCCCATATCAAAAAGTATACTGTGGTGATGCGGACAATATAGTGTGAATAATAATTACGTTTTAGTGACAAATTGACGTTATATGTGTAAATACATGGCACGTGTGTACGTATGCGTGTAATATAACGTTTAAGTGTACCTAATTAAATTGTAAGAATATCTGTTCGGAGAATATCTGTTCTGAGGAGGCTTTTATCTAATCGAATGAAATGTCTGCGCGCAATTTTCGAAGCAGTTCTTCCTAAAAATTTCGAAAAAAATCGATATTTGCTGAAATGTGTTGCAAGTGCTCGCGTTTAATTTGTGTGAACGTGCTATTGTAAAAATAAAAAAGTATGAACATTTATACTTTACTATATGCATTTGCATGCGCAAATAATAAATTGGAAAATTATAAAAGACATTTTTTTGTAACGCGGAATAATGAACTCATCGCGCAAGCAATCGCATGTTATTTTCGGTAGACTCTTCATTTTGTACGTTATTTTTAAATGCCAAATGATGCCGAAAATATCGATATATGAATTGAACAAAGATCACACCATCAAATAAATTGTAAATAAGCTTAATTTTTCCAGTACTTTGTAATTGAAAAAAGAAGATAAAAACAGCAATTAATTAGCTTCTCAAAGTTTGTGATTTTTTTAAAACTATATAATAGTTTCTTCTTAAGTAATATTGTTAGTCATTAATGAATGGATGAAAAACAATCACAAAGTACAAACGATCTCGAAAATAAAACTTTTAAACTTGGTGGACGTATAGGATAAGAGATTTTTTTTTATTCATTATGCAAATCGCTTTTCGGATTATCGAGCTAGAAACGCAATACACTATCTGTCATAAAGTTTGATTTATAACATTTGTCTTACGAGAAGTACTAGAACTATATATCTAATGCCGCATTTTATTTTGCCATGACGCACGATTTTCAAATCAACAATAATATTATAATAATATATTTATAAAAAACGCAAATGGAACGTGCTAAAGTAATATAAGAATTCTAATGTAAATAATATATATGACATTCTGCTGTAATTTATTGTCCAACATTAAAAAAAAGTGATAAATATTTACATCTTGATACGTTGACTATTCAGTATGAATAAATCTTGTATGTAAATTCTCTCTCTTTTTTGTTTCGGATTAATTTGAATTGTAAAAGTTTCTTGTATAAAAAAGTTTCAACTATTTAAGAATATAGTTATATACACATATCTATATATATTGTATTTAACTTCTATATATCAGGTGAATGGTTACAAAAGTATATTTCTTATATACAGCACAATAAAGAAAAAATTATTTGTGATTATTTACAGTAATATACATTAATAAGAAAAATTATCGAACAATATATTGTATAGTTCAATATGCGAATTTATCTTTTATAATTCCCAAGTTCAAATGTTAACGACGTTAACATCTGCCAAATATAAAATCACTTTGTTAAATATTTAATAGAAAATAATTTCTGTAATTGCAAATGTCAAGATAATAACTGTTTATAAATATTTGTATTCCTTGGAATCACTAATCAGATAAAGCTGAAATAAACAGCCGAAGTACACAACTTAATCTCTAATGATGATGGTGCATCTAGTTTCAAAGCTTCAAATGTCCAAATCTCGGATTTGTAGAATACATCATTATATTGTGTATGTAAGGTAATTTGTATCTATTAATAAAAATGTTTTTATGTTTCATATTATACAATATCTATCACTCTATACATAATTATTTCGTCTTATTTTTAAACTTATTATTAATCTATCAAAAAATGCAAAATTGTCAATTAATTAAAAAAAAATTAATTGCTATACATTTTTATTTTTGTCGCAATTTAGACATAATCCATGAAGAAAAGGAAACCAATTCTATGTATGTTATGCATAGGGTCAATCTGCATACGAATATTGGTTTGTTTATAGTATCAATTAGTATATAGTCAACTCAGACTTTTCAACTTTTATTTTAATGGGAGACTTTAATTCTAAATTTGAATCAAATTTCTCAGTTTTTATTTTGATAGAAGTTTTTAATTCTGAATCTGGAGATGTAGATGTTTTTTTCCTCTTCTTGCAACTTTCTAAATAATCAGATGCAGTTTCATTCTCTGTATCAGTCTCACGAGATTTTTTACGTTTCTTTCGATGTTTAGTCTTTTCTCTATCGAAAGTAGTATCTTCTGATATTCCATTAGTTAAATTTTCAATCTTAATAATTCTATCTAGATTGTGATTTTCGATAGCACTGTTTGTATTATGGATATTATCTTCACATTTAATATTTTTATGGCTACTGCTATCTGTATTATTATAATTTAATTTGATTTCGTTCTTATTTTCAGAGATAGATTCTGGATCAATTTCGCGAGATTTCTTATGTTTCTTTCGAAATTTCTTTTTTTCTTTATCAGAAAAAGCATCATCTGATATTCCATTCCAACTATCAATCTTAATAGCGTTATTATTAAGATACTCCAGATTGTGGTTTTCAGCATCGTTTGTATTATGGATGTTATCTTCACATTTAATATTTATGTGAATATTACTGTTCAATGTAGTTTCATTTTTATCTTCAGAGGTAGATTCTAGATCACTTGCATGAGATTTTTTATGCTTTTTTTTGTATTTCCTTTTCTCTTTTTCAGAAATAATATCGTTTTCTAATGTTTGATTGATTGAAGTGTCAATCTTGACAGTACTATTCAGATTTTGATTTTCGATAATATCTGTATTGCTGTTAATTTCATATTTAATATATTTGTAAGTATCGTTATCTGTATTATTACTCGATTCAGCTTTTGTTTGATATGTAAGGAAAGATTCAGAAACAATCTCGTGGGAATTTTTATATTTCTTTCGGTGTTTCTTTTTTCCTTTATCAGAGACAGTGTCATCTTCATTAACTGAATTCTCAATAATGACAGTGCTATTCTCATTAAGCTCTTCAATAGTACTGTCTGTATTATTATCTTCATATTTTATATTTTTATAAGTATCAATATCACGGGACTTTTTATGCTTCTTTCGATGTTTCTTTTCCTCTTTCTCGGAAATATCATTTTCTGATATTTCATCATTTGTCTTCTCAATCTTAATACTATTCAAATTGTGGCTTTCAATATCATTTATCATATCAGTAATATTTTCCATATTGTGGATAATTATACTATCTGATAATCTGCAGCCTTGCAAATAATCAGAATTTAAAGTGGCACGAATAAAAGGAGGCTTACATTTGTTGTCTACTTGATTTATGCAGCATCTTATTTCTTGACCAACCTCTACTGAATCTCCTATCCATTCTTCCTCGTTATCCGGCTTTGGAATAGATATAGTGTATATTTTATGCACTAACACTACAATATGATCCAAGCCTTTCTTGTTCACTATACCTGTAGATAAAAAATAATTCTAAATTTCTTTATAATTGACTTTTAAGTATATGATAGTTAACAAAAGTATAATTTACCTTTTACAAAAGAACCAACTTTTGGACGAAACAAATAAAAGTCTGCTTCTATATCGATATGAATAAAGGGAGAATCATAGAGTACTTCTCCAAAATTACTAAGCACTTTAGGATTTTTAAAAGCTAATACAAATCCATTCAACCTAAAAAAATACAGAATTGCTTAATTAAATTTTGTCAATTTTTCAATATTATTTGTCAGACAAATTTTGGAATATACTCTTAAAAAGGAAGAGAACATTTTATATCATTTTACAATAGATTTAAATATACGATTATCTCTGATGCTATTCAAGCATACAAGAAATAAATTAATAAAATAATAATAAAATTACAACAAGAATAATTGTAATAATATAATCTCAAATCTTCTTTTTATTTTTTAAATATATTTTAAATATATTTTTTAAATATATTTTAAATATATTTTTAAATATATTTTAAATATTTTTTAAATATATATAACCCAGCAAACACAGAATATTACAGCAACATTGCTGCAATGTTGTAATATATATATTACCGCAACATTACTGCAATGTTGTAATATTGAATATTGCCGTAATATTGCTGCAATATTCTATGTTTGTTGGGTAAATATATATATCTTTTAAACATTGAATGGGATTTAATTAATGTTTATGAATGAATGATAAAATATATTTAACATATAAAAGATAAGAAGTATATACTGTTCTCTTTTATGAAACATGTAAAATATAAACATGTGTGTAATGTGTGTTACATACTCTTTGTCGTAATTGTTCAATGACGATTTTAATATTTGATTCAGACCTCGCTGAATGTTAATCAAATGATAGGGATGTAATGCAAGATGCTTGGTGGTTCTCTCAAAGTGCACGTGAGCATCTTCTTCTTCCAAGAGCCCGCTGAGCTCCAGGAGGGTCCATGTTATCTTTTGATTTGTACGATCCATTTTACTTCAAAATCCTAACATTGCACGATATAACGTTAAAATTAAGTTATAATTGCATGGATAAAATTGATAATGGACAATCGTACACATAACCAACTACGCCGCATTAGTACATATTAAGGCTGCTTTACATGAAATCATTATCTAAATCTAAGGCTGAGTTTCCATTGAATACTATGCTATTGTATTTAGATATTTCATATATATCAGCCTTTACTATGCTTTAACATTAGCCGCATTCAGCGGACTCAACAGTTGGGCAACATTACTAGATTTTCCGATGTAATTCAATGCTGATTGGTCGGATCTGAAAGTAGAAACCAATCATGTTCGATGCGATGCGCATGCGCTCAACGCTGATTGGAGCTGACCGAAGCCGACCGAGCGTGCACAGAGAGACTGAGAGATGTCGTGGCTCGCTTTATCCCTGGAAGTGATACTCCCTCTATAAACATCAACAACAAAATATGAACTACAAAACAAATGTCCACGAAGGTTCTCAGAGGATAACATATATGTCCCTCTGATAATATAAATAATATAAATAAAAATATAAATAATTTAATTAATAATAATTTATTATATAAAAATATTAATATGTTCTCTCTTTTCCTTGCTATTATTTATATTATATATTTATATTATATATTTATATCATATGTATAAATATTACATTTAAGTGTGGGTCCAAGAAGCAAATTTCGGATATTCACTGTAAGTCAGCCGCTCTTCGAGCGATCGGGACGAGATTTAAACGGTAGTGCCGCGAAATGGTGTAGAATTTTATGCAAAAAGAACGAAATCGCGTCTGGAAGTCGAGATATAAATTCGCTGTTTTTCGTCTGCGCGCGGACGGTCGAAATCGTGCACGACGCCACGCATGTTGCCTGCCTATCTCGCGCGATATTCACTGTAACGCGGCGAGTAAAATGGCAAGCCGAATGTAATCGTTCGATTAATTGATTAAATACTTATATATACCGAACGAAAAGATGAATCGGAATGCAATCGTTCGATTAATTAATTAAATATAGATACTACGATCGCGGCGAAGCGGTGGGCGGGTCGCTCTCCGAAACATGATGGTGGTTTGCGATATATCGCGATTGTTCCGTGATACATCAATCGTTCATAATTAATTAATTTAAAATAAAATATACTTCTATTTAAAATGTCGCGTGTATATATAGTACGCAAAATATTTCGGCAGAGAATTATCAATTAATATCATATGTTTGGCCTTGACGACGTATAGCAAGCGGCTATACATGTCATAGCTTTGCCATCATTCACACGGTGACACTCGAATATAGAAAAATATTTAACAACATGATAATTAAGTAAAGAGCATTAAGAGCCCACAAACCAATTTGTTTCTTATAATTTATATTATCAGGAGAATATATTTTGCGAGGAGGTCGATGATGCGTTGATGACCTCTTTACAAATCATGTTCTCCTAATAACGCAAACGTAAAAATTTTCGAAAATTCGTTTCTTATAATTTATATTATCAGTAGAATATATTTTGCGAGGAGGTCGATGATGCGTTGATGACCTCTTTACAAATCATGTTCTCCTAATAACGCAAGCGTGAAAATTTTCGAAAATTCGTTTCTTATAATTTATATTATCAGGAGAATATATTTTGCGAGGAGGTCGATGATGCGTTGATGACTTCTTTACAAATCATGTTCTCCTAATAACGCAAACGTAAAAATTTTCGAAAATTCGTTTCTTATTATTTTATATTATCAGGAGAATATATTGTGCGAGGAGGTCGCTGATGCGTTGATGACCTCTTTACAAATCATGTTCTCCTAATAACGCAAACGCGAAAATTTTCGAAAATTCGTTTCTTATAATTTATATTATCAGGAGAATATATTGTGCGAGGAGGTCGATGATGCTTTGATGATCTCTTTACAAATCATGTTCTCCTAATAACGCAAACGCGAAAATTTTCGAAAATTCGTTTCTTATAATTTATATTATCAGGAGAATATATTTTGCGAGGAGGTCGATGATGCGTTGCTGACCTCTTCACAAATCATGTTCTCCTAATAACGCAAGCGCGAAAATTTTCGAAAATTTGTTTCTTATAATTTATATTATCAGGAGAATATATTTTGCGAGGAGGTCGCTGATGCGTTGATGACCTCTTTACAAATCATGTTCTCCTAATAACGCAAACGCGAAAATTTTCGAAAATTCGTTTCTTATAATTTATATTATCAGGAGAATATATTGTGCGAGGAGGTCGATGATGCTTTGATGATCTCTTTACAAATCATGCTCTCCTAATAACGCAAACGCGAAAATTTTCGAAAATTCGTTTCTTATAATTTATATTATCAGGAGAATATATTTTGCGAGGAGGTCGATGATGCGTTGATGACCTCTTTACAATTCATGTTCTCCTAATAACGCAAGCGTGAAAATTTTCGAAAATTCGTTTCTTATAATTTATATTATCAGGAGAATATATTTTGCGAGGAGATCGATGATGCGTTGATGACCTCTTAACAAATCATGTTCTCCTAATAACGCAAGCGTGAAAATTTTCGAAAATTCGTTTCTTATTATTTTATATTATCAGGAGATTATATTTTGCGAGGAGGTCGAAGATGCGTTGATGACCTCTTTACAAATCATGTTCTCCTAATAACGCAAGCGTGAAAATTTTCGAAAATTCGTTTCTTATTATTTTATATTATCAGAAGAATATATTTTGCGAGGAGATCGAAGATGCGTTGATGACCTCTTTACAAATCATGTTCTCTTAATAATGCAAGCGTGAAAATTTTCGAAAATTCGTTTCTTATTATTTTATATTATCAGGAGAATATATTTTGCGAGGAGGTCGAAGATGCGTTGATGACCTCTTTACAAATCATGTTCTCCTAATAACGCAAGCGTGAAAATTTTCGAAAATTCGTTTCTTATAATTTATATTATCAGGAGAATATATTTTGCGAGGAGGTCGATGATGCGTTGATGACCTCTTTACAAATCATGTTCTCCTAATAGCGCAAGCGTGAAAATTTTCGAAAATTCGTTTCTTATAATTTACATTATCAGGAGAATATATTTTGCGAGGAGGTCGATGATGCGTTGATGATCTCTTTACAAATCATGTTCTCCTAATAACGCAAGCGCGAAAATTTTCGAAAATTCGTTTCTTATAATTTATATTATCAGGAGAATATATTGTGCGAGGAGGTCGATGATGCGTTGATGACCTCTTTACAAATCATGTTCTCCTAATAACGCAAACGCGAAAATTTTCGAAAATTCGTTTCTTATAATTTATATGATCAGGAGAATATATTGTGCGAAGAGGTCGATGATGCGTTGATGACCTCTTTACAAATCATGTTCTCCTAATAACGCAAACGTGAAAATTTTCGAAAATTCGTTTCTTATAATTTATATTATCAGGAGAATATATTGTGCGAAGAGGTCGATGATGCGTTGATGACCTCTTTACAAATCATGTTCTCCTAATAACGCAAACGTGAAAATTTTCGAAAATTCGTTTCTTATAATTTATATTATCAGGAGAATATATTTTGCGAGGAGGTCGATGATGCGTTGATGACCTCTTTACAAATCATGTTCTCCTAATAACGCAAACGTGAAAATTTTCGAAAATTCGTTTCTTATAATTTATATTATCAGGAGAATATATTGTGCGAGGAGGTCGATGATGCGTTGATGACCTCTTTACAAATCATGTTCTCCTAATAACGCAAGCGTAAAAATTTTCGTAAATTCGTTTCTTATAATTTATATTATCAGGAGAATATATTTTGCGAGGAGGTCGATGATGCGTTGGTGACCTCTTCACAAATCATGTTCTCCTAATAACGCAAGCGCGAAAATTTTCAAAAATTCGTTTCTTATAATTTATATTATCAGGAGAATATATTTTGCGAGGAGGTCGATGATGCGTTGATGACCTCTTCACAAATCATGTTCTCCTAATAACGCAAACGTGAAAATTTTCGAAAATTCGTTTCTTATAATTTATATTATCAGGAGAATATATTGTGCGAGGAGGTGGATGATGCGTTGATGACCTCTTTACAAATCATGTTCTCCTAATAACGCAAGCGTGAAAATTTTCGAAAATTCGTTTCTTATAATTCATATTATCAGGAGAATATATTTTGCGAGGAGGTCGATGATGCGTTGATGACCTCTTTACAAATCATGTTCTCCTAATAGCGCAAGCGTGAAAATTTTCGAAAATTCGTTTCTTATAATTTACATTATCAGGAGAATATATTTTGCGAGGAGGTCGATGATGCGTTGATGATCTCTTTACAAATCATGTTCTCCTAATAACGCAAGCGCGAAAATTTTCGAAAATTCGTTTCTTATAATTTATATTATCAGGAGAATATATTGTGCGAGGAGGTCGATGATGCGTTGATGACCTCTTTACAAATCATGTTCTCCTAATAACGCAAACGTGAAAATTTTCGAAAATTCGTTTCTTATAATTTATATGATCAGGAGAATATATTGTGCGAAGAGGTCGATGATGCGTTGATGACCTCTTTACAAATCATGTTCTCCTAATAACGCAAACGTGAAAATTTTCGAAAATTCGTTTCTTATAATTTATATTATCAGGAGAATATATTGTGCGAAGAGGTCGATGATGCGTTGATGACCTCTTTACAAATCATGTTCTCCTAATAACGCAAACGTGAAAATTTTCGAAAATTCGTTTCTTATAATTTATATTATTAGGAGAATATATTTTGCGAGGAGGTCGATGATGCGTTGATGACTTCTTTACAAATCATGTTCTCCTAATAACGCAAACGTGAAAATTTTCGAAAATTCGTTTCTTATAATTTATATTATCAGGAGAATATATTGTGTGAGGAGGTCGATGATGCGTTGATGACCTCTTTACAAATCATGTTCTCCTAATAACGCAAGCGTAAAAATTTTCGAAAATTCGTTTCTTATAATTTATATTATCAGGAGAATATATTTTGCGAGGAGGTCGATAATGCGTTGATGACCTCTTTACAAATCATATTCTCCTAATAACGCATTTATAAAAAAAAAAAAAATTTCGCGAACAATTAATGTTCGAAATAATTTACGCATTGCCATCCGCATTTTGTGGGCTCTTAATGCTCTTTACTTAATTATCATGTTGATAAATACATAGAGCCGTATTATTTACCAATTTATTTTGAAAAATATTTATTTCATCTTTGAATATTACAGTATCTGTCGCGATTGAATAATTTATTTATTATCAATTTACACACATAAGTATTTAATTGTTATATAGCACTGGTGCTACCGGCATTTCGTGCACATAGCACGGAACAAAACCAGAAATTGTGCAATTATATATTACCCTCTGAGAACATTCATGGACTATGACTTTGTAGTTCATGTCCATGTTTTGAATGTCCATAGAGGGAGTATCACTTTTGGGGTCACTCCATAGCTTGGACATGAACCATAGCTCAGACACGAACCATGTATTATTATCGACTGTAAAGGATGTAGTTGACGTCCACTTTGTCAGGGAGCGCATTAGGACAATATACCCGTTAAAGCGAGGTGGCCGCTCTCAGGTTTCTCTCTGCTTCCTGCCATGGATATCACTAGTTTTGTGGGATTTCTACAATATAAAGTTTTCTACAATGGTTTTCTCTGTTTTCTCTCGAGAGTTTGACATTTCTCATATTCGATTATTTTATCTTTGAAAAATATTTTTCACAAGCACAAACAAACAAACAATAAGTAAAATTGTATATAAGTTGTTGAATTTTTTATTTTATGTTGATTGTTATACATCATGTCATACAAGTAAGTAGATACTCTGTTGACTTAATATCAAGTCACAATTAAATCGGCAATATGAATTCGAAGAAGACCATAACCTTCGGCAAGATAAGCAGAAACTTAGAAAAACCGACAACCGAGGCATCTGTCGAAGTCTCGAACTCCGGATTCGGCACGTTTGGCAAAAAACGTGAGGAGAACAATGTGAAAAAGATAGAGGAGATCAAGCCGGAGGATGAGGAGGAGACTCAAAATATGCAGAAGTTGATGGGCATCACGGGCTTCGGTAAGAAAGCCAAGTCGTTCGACGTTCAGGAAATGCTGGAGAACATCACCAAGACCATCAGCAGCAATAAACCAGCTGCACTTGCGGCGGATAAGTCTCCCGACAAAAGTACCGAAGAGTCCGAGAAGAATGACAACGAAGAGAGCGATGATGAGGATGATTTCATCGGCCCACCGTTACCGTCTTCGTTGTCCGTTGATTCAGATGCGACAAAGGAAAAGAAAGAAAAAGAAAAGAGGAAGGACGAGAGCGACGATGATGACGAATCGTCCGATGCCGAGGAAGAAGTAACGCTAAGAGACAAGATTCCTTGTACACACGAGGTTTCAATGAATCATGGCACCAAAGCGGTCATCGCCATCGCTGCAGATCCATCCGGAGCTCGATTAGCATCTGGATCTGTTGATTACGATGTCTGCTTCTGGGATTTCGCTGGTATGGATACATCCATGAAGAGTTTCAGGACCTTGCAGCCTTGTGAGAATCACCCTATCAAATGTTTACAATATTCCACGACTGGAGATGTAATATTAGTGATATCAGGATCGGCACAGGCGAAAGTTTTGGACCGGGATGGCTTTGAAAAGTGTGAGACTGTGAAGGGGGATCAGTATATTACAGACATGGCGCGTACAAAGGGTCACACTGCTAGTTTGAATAGCGGCTGTTGGCATCCGTTTACTAAAGAGGAATATTTGACCTGTTCGCAAGACAGTACTTGTAGAATATGGATTCTATATAGGCCACGTGGGCATAAAAGTCTGATAAAATGCAGAGCGCAGAATGGTGTAAAAACAATACCCACCACTTGTGCTTACAGTCGAGAGGGTGCAGCTGTCGCATGCGGATGCATAGATGGTTCGATTCAGATGTGGGATCGCAGAAAGAATTTTGTGAATCCATCTCTCATATTGAGAGGCGCCCATGCACAAGGTAATGAGATATCAAGCTTGAGCTTTTCGTACCTTGGACAGATGCTAGCGAGTAGAAGTTGCGACGACACATTGAAATTGTGGGATTTACGAGCATTTAAATCGCCAGTCTTTGAAATAAAGGGACTGTTTTCACGTTACGACACAACAGATTGCATGTTTAGTCCAGATGATTCAATGATTGTTACTGGAGAATCTCTGAACAAGGGAAAAACAACTGGCAGGTTGCTGTTTTATGACAGTAAGACATTTGATCTAGTCAGAGAAATCCCTGTGACAAACTCACATGTAATCAAGACCTTGTGGCATCCAAAATTGAATCAAGTGTTTGTTGGTTGTGGTAATGGTATTGTCAAGGTGTATTATGATTCCAAGAAAAGCATGAGAGGAGCCAAACTGTGTGTTGTCAAGACACACATGAAGCAGAAACACATTGAGATAATGTCCACTCAACAGATCATAACACCTCATGCACTTCCTCTGTTCCGTCAGGATAGACCAAAGTCAGTTCGCAAGCAGATGGAGAAAGATAGGCTGGATCCAGTCAAATCGAGGCGTCCTGATCTACCAATTACATCCGGACAAGGTGGCAGAGTAGCATCTTCTGGAGGAACACTCAGCTCTTATGTTATACGTAATCTCGGATTGAGTAAACGAATAGAGGATGATCAAGATCCCAGAGAGGCCATTCTGAAGTACGCAAAAATAGCTGAGGAGGAACCTTATTGGATCGCACCTGCATATAAGAAAACGCAACCAAAAACGATTTTCCAGTCTGATGATCAAGATAGTGGACCGAGTAATAAAAAACAAAAAACATAAATTTGTATTTATCATGTACGTTGTACAACTTGTAATTATAAATATGCAACAATTTAATTATGTACAGCAGTATCTGTGGATTAATTAAATGAATATTAATTTTGTTATAAAAGTTATGTGTTTTGCGTATCTATTTTATTTAATCTGTTATATCTTAGATATATTCTTTAACATATTTGGTAATTTTTTTTACAAATTGTACATATTCTTTATTTATATTTTATATTAGAATTTTTTGACATATATGTATCACTACACTTATTGTCCTGTGTAAAAAACTTTAGGATGGATATTGGGCAGGATATTGATTTTATTTTCAGAAAGGATATCTTTCTATAATCTTATATATCTATGGCAGAGAGAATCTTGTTTTGGTCATTTGGTATCTGAGGGCGCTGAGGCTTCTAGATCAGAAGTGGCCATAAAAATTCAAAGAAGAAGAAGAGGGCGCTGAGATCTTGGATTCTAAAATGGCTGTCCATTAGCGGTTCATAAGTAAATAAAGAAAGGTATGAATATATTTTCCCTTTATTTTTTTTTTACGACTTACTTTATTTTTTGTGAACTAAATTTGCAAACGAGATTTTAATGAAATTTTAACTGTATAATATATCTTTTTATTCAGAGCAAACACATTGGCGGAATTTGAACGAGAATGTCTTCCCCAAATTCGTTAATATATAATGCCAAAAATGAAACACCTCAACTGAATCCAAATTCGGAATTAGTATCTGACCACACGCCATCACAATGGTGGAAATATTTGGAATCCCCTAATAGTAAAAGCAATACTTCAACAAGATCAAGACCTAAAAGCATAAGTGCAGGTATGAATTTACAAAATAATTTTACAATATGAATATTATAATGTATTAATAGCACATATATTTTACAGTAATGACTAGAACTAATGTTTTGGAAACGTCAACATCTGAATCAGAAAGAGAACATATTTTAAAAAAGAAAAAAGTTCAATTAAAAGTATCAAGAAGAAAAAGCAATAGCAATGCCTTTTTGGATGTTTTCAATAATGCTAAAGTATCTGTTCCATTAAAATTACGTATGAAACAAAGAAAATATTCCAATTTGCCTAACAATTCAGATAAAGAAGTTTCGGAAAAGAAGTTAGAGGAAATTAATCATGATTCAAGCTCAAGTCTAAGTCCAAGTATTGTAAAATTAAAGTCAAGTATTTTTAAGAGAAAAAGTGGAGAAGAAACAAAAAGTCATAATCTCTTCCAAGATATAGTAAGAGAAAATGATAATTCAGATGTCAGGAAAAAATCAGTTACATTAGAAAAAAAATCCAATCATTCAATATATCAAAGTGTTAATACAAATAAGGATCATATTGATCAAAATATTAATACAAGTAAAGATCATATTGATCGAATAAAAACAATACAAATGTCAAAAACATTATCATTTGAGAATAATGAAGCTGGCCCTTCAAATTCATCAATTTCAACAGCAATGCTTGAAAATAATGTTATATCTGATATTAATAAGACTGTTGAAACTAGTAATGATAGTAATATTGAAGTTAGTAATCGTAAACGTTTCAAATTTAAATCTCATCTTATGGAACGAAATAATACGGATACAAATCCTTTTAAAAGTGCTCTGGCTGAAAATAGAGATACATCTTTGCTTGAACATAATCAGAACAAGGAGATTGATGTTCATGATGCAAAATCTCTAAGAACAAAATCATTAAGTCCTTCAAAAAAGAGTGCTAATAGACTTAAGAAAAAAACTGATGTTACACTTGAAAATGTGCTCTCAAGTTCACCTATTCGTAGAAGTTTAAGAAAAACGACTAAAAAACATTCATTAGATATGTCAGCACAAGTCCAAGATAACAATGAACAAAATACAAGTAATTCATCTTTGGACAATGATGAATTTCGCACTAAAAAGCCTGCATATTTGAAGTTAAAATCAAAAATTTCACCTTTACGTAAAAAGAGTCTGAATAATCCATTCAAGGACATACTTATGGAGGATGGCAGTATTAATGCAAGAAAAAGTAATATTGCTATGTCAGCTGAAGATCATCACATTTCTGTTGAGCAAGATAAAATTACAACAGAAAATAGCAAAGGACATGAACAGGTAGTAATGGAAAGATATTCACAATCAATGAGTCATATAAATGAAGATTTTGAAACATCTCTTAAAATATCATCATCAAATAATGTGCGAAATGTATCTGAAAAACTTAATGTGCAACCAAAAAAGAAAAATAAATTCTCAGAAAGTAACGTGAATGTATCAAAATCTAGTTCACAGAGGAGCGTAATAAGTGAAGACAAATCTGAAGCATCACCAAACAAGAAACAAATTTCGTTTAGCCGCAACTCTATAAGAAACAAATCTGAAATTTCAAAAGAACATGCAAATGTGATGTCTACTGATAGAACGAATATTAATGAGATGGAAACACGTAAAGCTAGAAGTGATAAATTGCTACGGCAAGATAAATTTTTTACAGCACAAGGTGCATCTACATCACACGTTCGGAACTTGTTAACATCGCAAGTTGTCAATGTTGAGGCTTTTGAGAAGATTAAAGCGGAGGTAGACAAATTAAAAACTCACGAGTTGGCCAGGATAAGAATAGCTGATGAGAAGAAAGAATCTGCATCAAAAGCGACAAATGTGAAACTCCTTAGTAATATGCGTAAACAACCTACTAAGAAAAACAAATCTCCAAAGTTTGTTGATAAGGCATACCTAGTAAATGGAAAGGTGTACAAACCACCAAGACTTCCTCGACCCAAACACTGGGTTACAGATCATTTCTATAAGTTCTTGTGGAAACGTATGGAGCCGAAATATCAATTGTCGACTAGAATGCGATCCGAGAAATTCGTGTTGCTGCTGGCCAAGATAGTATCCATCATCGAACGTCGTAAAAAGTATCAGAATTACAAATTGGAATTAGAAGCTCTGATGAAGGAAATGGCTCGTTTAAATATCATCGGTACCCGTAATGATTTTTATCATTTTTGTCAGGATTTTATGCCATACGAATTTCGCGTTAAAGTTATTCCTATGTTAATGCCTGGCAATAAACAAAATATTCCTTTTGAGCCAGAAAAATTGCACACTCCCTTGCTTGAAGAAACCTAACGATTTATCGCAATATGATAAATACGAAAATATGATAAGATAGAATGTTATGTAAAATATTTTTTGTTTAAGCTCCTATTGTTCTATATGTTATATATAATTACATCAAGATTGTTATATATAATCAGTCTATAAAAGTTAACATGTATATAGCTAAGTAATAATATATTAGATAATAATAGAATAATAGATAAATAATAATATATTTGATAAGTAATAATATTTTTGATAAATTTAAGATAAGATCTAGAATAAAAAGAAATATTCCTTTCCAAATTTCTTATTCGAAAGAACAGACAATCGATTTTCGTTTTTATATATTCTAAGATTAGAAAAATTTGTGTAAAAGATATTAAAAATTAGTACAAGTTTTTTGCATATAAACTACATCATTAAATAAACGTGAAATATAATATTGTTATTTTTATATTTTTAAATCAAAAAATATACAAGCAACAATGAAAGGTAGCCCGTTTAAATTACAATTATAATTCGTTCAAATTATAATTATTGATTACAAATGTTTATATAATATTGCAGAATATTATATAAATACATAATCCTCTTTTATTTGAATTTGTATCTTTCATGTTGTACGTTTCATTTTGATTGTGTGTATATGTTTTATGCGTTAAGTATTAATAAGTATATGTGCCAATGAACAGCCGGAAATTATTTGTACATCGCGCGTAGCCAATATTTGCGCTCTCGCTCTCTGTCTCTGTCGGCACCCCATTTGGCATACGTCCTTCGGACACGTGTGACGTACAAAAAGCACTATTCCCACGCCTTCGAGAGATACTCGTATTTCCATTTTAGCCACTTTAAGCGATCCGATATGTATATATCGCGTGTTTATTTACTTATTCCGGTTAACGCGCGTATGTCACGACTGCGTTATATATAGATCATCTATTGTGATCTTTGCGGGGATATAAATATCATCCTAATCGTTGGCTACGATAATCTCTTCGTGCGTGAGCAAACAATTCTTGTTTTTCTTCGGTGTTCACAACAAAAATTATTCATACGTCATTTTAACATGCGTATAAATGGAATAGCGTTAGTCATTGAAACATCAAAATGTTATTAATTTTTTTTTTAGTTTGGAATAATTTATTAGAATATTTAAAAGCATTTGAAATTGTTCAAATTATTACAGCCTTGCTGAAATAGCGATTGTGATATAGATATGAATCAACGTGTTATGAAAATAAACAGTTTTGGCATCCAATACGTTTAAGATTTGCCAATTTTATCTGATTCCAGTAACATATTTCCTTTGATATATTTAAAAGTACAGATAACCGATCTCTGTTCTAAATAAATTTGATTAAGAGCTTTCTCTTTATTTGGAAATTATATTTTAAATTTACAGGAAAAAAGCAAGTTTATCGTACATAATTAAACTTAGAATTTAAAATTTGTATCGAGTACAATCTATGCGAATATATTGTATAATAGTTGCGTTTCGCTTGTGTTACAAGTATTCCAATTATGTGGGTGATAATGTCGCGTCAATAAAATGATATCGTGGCGCTTCGTCGACTTTGCAAATATTTGCGACAAGTGGAAATCGCGTTGACGTAGCTGCGCTCACGCAATTTGTGACGCGCAAGAATCGTGCGACTAGAGATTCAAATTTGTGCAATGTGTGACTGTCAGTTAAAGCCCGGGATTACCGTGACCTCCTGACCTCGGGAATACGCAGGATTTCCAGCATTACGCGATGATGCAACATGGATGATTTCGATCAGTATCGATAAAATAACAAATCTCGTCCCCGATAGTAAATTTAAAATCTCCATTAATCAAATCAATGTCTTTTTCTCGAAGAGATAGCATTTTCACATATATATTGCACACATATAATGTTTGTTTAAAATTATATTTTTCTATTAATGAATCCTGCTAAAAGAGATAATATCTACGAAGAGATTAATCCTCTCTTGATTTTTTATCTAATATACAACTTATCTTTCTAAAAATCAAATAAATCTTGTCCTCGACAATAAATTGAGGATCTCCATTAATGAAATGAATGTCTTTTGGGAAAGATTTCATTATTTGTTTAAAATTATATTTTTCTATTACTGAATCCTCTACTAAAAGAGATACATATTTGAAAAGCGAAAAGATTAACCTTATTTATTTCTTTCATCTAACTTTCATATAACTTTTCTTTTTTCAAAAACAAATTTCGCTCCTGATAATAAATTTAAGATTGGAAGGGATAGCAGTTCCATTATTTACTTAAAAAATTATATTTTTCTATTACTGAATCCTATTAAAAGAGAGATCATTTCTGCGAAAAGATTAATCATATTTATTTTTTCTAATAAATAACTTGTTCTTTTCCAGATTCTTTCAGATTTTTTTTCGTGTCTTAAAAACGATGAATTTTATTTTTTTTCTCGAAGGATTTCCAAATCCTTACGGAGAGTACAGGGTGCGTTTGTTCGGGAGAGGGCAGAAAGAAATGGGAAACAGTAACATGATCTTGCATTAATTAATCGCGCGAGGCTCTCGAAGGCCGCCAGGCATGGTTTGAAGTTTCTAATCTCTATAATGGAACAGCCGCCTCAATTAGGAGGGACTTATTTTCGCCGGGCCGCGATGTTTGAGCGGGCATTTGTGTAGCCACGCGACCGCGCCACGCGTCCGCTCGTTATACCCCGATGGTCGTCGATGGCGATTGTTTCCCCCCGTCCGCGAAAAAATGATTGCCCGGCTCGCGTTGCAATAATCGTAAAACGGTTTCAATGAATCATGCAAATGGCAGATTTGTCTCGATGACAAATCCCGATTGCTGTCTTGTCGGACTTTGCATCGCGATCACAGTCCATTTGACGGATCGAGTCCAAAAGGGGAGATTCGTACGTCATACTTTCGCGAAAAAAAAAACTATATTTTATCGCCTCTACAAATATATCTTTTTTTTTCGTCGGTAACTGTATCGTTATTGATTTTCGCGAGAACGCACGTTAGCGATAGTTGAAGATAACGATTAACGCCAGCCTGGGGGGGGATTAACGGGATCGAGTCTGATTAACGAATCGAAGTGTACTTATGATTTCGATTCCGGAGAACGATCTTTTCGTCGACGGTGCGCTCGAATGTTATGACAATTATGAGTTTTCCGTGGGGCACCCGGGGGCGGCACGTGCCCCCCGACGTACGCACACGTCAGGGGGGGAGGAGGGAAGGGGGGACACGCACGGCGCGACGCGTGCCGCCGCGTGAGAACGGCCGCGCTCACACGCGTTACATGCACACGACACGCACGTGTGTGCACGCAGCGGCGAGATAAAGAGAAAGAGAAAGAAGCGAGTGCGTAAGCGCTACCGGGATTTACTCTTGCGCTCGCTCTCGACTTCTCGCTCGTTGCCTTAGTTTAATGCACCCCCGAAGCGCCGATTAAATTTCGTTCATGTACTCGCTTCTCGTTCTCGTGATATATAATCTATTGTTTAGATAAATGCGTGTCTATATGTTGAAAAGATTTTTTACGTTTCATATAATCATCGTTATTCATGTTTCTTACGTTATATTATTTTTCAAGTAATGTAATAAATATTGTATAAGATATACATGCAATTAGTTTATAATATAATACATATATTGACGGAGTATGTTGATCAGATTTCATGTCATTAATATTTTTTCATATATTGCATTCGGTAAATATATCAAATATAATATAATATATCCGAAAGTTAATAACAGAGCTGTATCACTTAATCCCATAAAGTTTATAAATGCTTTTTGAGATACAGAGAAACGAAATAATAATATATACATACATATATCGAGATATAATATGCGTACAGATATAACGGATGCAACTTAAATGTAATTAATATCGATCGGAATCAAGATAAAGTTATCATATATCAACGTCTTGTCAACCAAGGCGATTGTGCCTTTCGATGAATTCTCGTCAATCATTTGTAGATTATAATCCAATTCGTTCTTATCCTCATCTATTCCCCACGGGCCATTGAACACACTCGTTCCATATTCCACCATATAGTATATTGCAGTAGTATGGATTTGCACGCACGCGTACCTTGCTTATTGAATTGAGCATTGATTAATCGGTGTATCTTGCAGTCTCTTAGAGATAAATAAATACAGTTAGAGATAATAAGTTATATTAATTTTTCTTTGTGAATATTTTATAATTTTTACGAGCAGATAAAAATTATCGAATATATATTAATAATAAAGCTTGATAAATAAATATTTATAAATATTATATAAATATTTATATATATAATATATATAAATATTTATTTAATTAGATTCAAAAAAACTTTTGACAACAAACAGACAAATTTTTATTTGTTAATAATTTTTTTATACACGTTAATAATTTTTTAGTAATAAATAACAGTTAAACTCTTTTAAAAGTTAGTTAGTAAAAGAATATTTGTGTTACAATGTCTTTATACTCTCTCTATAATTTGATATATACATTCATCTTTCACGATTCACACCATTCTATCTTTAAGAAAATTAGAATATTTAAAAAAATTCTCAATTTTCAGAGTTTGAAAAAATTAAGAACTATTAAAATTTTAAAAATCGAAATTCTACTAATTATTTTATATCCAAAAGTCAGAAGAAAGTTTTGAAAAAATGTAGCAAAATTTTCTCATTAAAAAAAAATAAAATATTGAAATTTGAGTGATCGAAAAATTTCACAACTTTTCGATTCAATTAAATAACGGCCAATACGGTTTTCTTGTCAAAATTTTCAGTTATAAGTAATTTGTAGCAGTACGCAATTTGTGGAATGATATGCATAGACATCTTCCTCCGTCCGCGGTATTTAATTCCATCAATTAAAATGATTCCGGTCGGAGGTGCCGGCGCCGCGGAAATTACTATTGCGTCAAGTCGATCGTAATTACCGGTCGCCCATTAACCTTTCTATCTCCGTAAGGGTTAATTGCCTCGAGCGGACCACAAGAGGAAAGCATTTCCACGAGAGATCGTACCGTGAGTGGGATGCGGTGGATACCCGCGAGCTCCGCGCTCGGGGATAATCGTGCGGGGTCGGGTGCGGAGTCCGGGGCTGGGGCCGAGGTAATAAATAGAGCAACGCGGCGATCCGGAGCGGTATTTCGTCGCGTGACGCCGTGACGCGCGCAT